AGACACTAGACTAACAGAACTATTTTAGCAATGACATATTTGATAAAAAAATAAATAATCTGTGTATTCTTTTTTATTCTAGGATAGCAAATGAAGTAGAAAGATTTTTAAAAACTGTGTTTTTATAATATGGATCACCTCAAATAGACTCTGAAAATCTGAACATAAATAGCTGAGCAGAGTAAAACCATTAATCCCTCAATTTACTCCTGAGAAATGCTATTTGCATCTCTTCAAAGTATTTTCCAAGGAAATAATCTATTCTATAACCTTTATGGGGGGGAAAAAGTGTAAGAAATGGTACAGCTTAGAAACACAAATGTTAGAAAACATATTCAGATTTATAAGAAATATAAGGATGGTGTCAATAGATATCTGGTTTATGCAATTAGCTATTGATTTCTATTAGCTATTTTCTATCATTAGCCATTGATTTCTGTGAAATTATTTAGCAGCAGAAATAATGATTTATGATGCTTATAAAAGTGTGAAAGTGGAATTATAAATATAACAGATTTTAAATAAACCTAGTTTAAAAAGCTATGTACTGAAATGCAAAAAGTCTTTGCAAGATCTCTACATATGGCTTGAAATGTATAAAGCATAAACAATTCATTAAATTCTCTGCAAATGCAGCCATTATACAAAAGAATTAAGTATAAAACCTAATGTCTTGTTTATTTACACTAATTTGTCATCTGTAGAGAGTAAAAGTATGGTATGTTTAAATTTACCCTTGTATATTTATTACATGGTCACAGGAAGTTCAAAATCAGAAAGGTCTTCTAGTAAACTTCAGTTACATTTTAATGCACAATTTGATAGCTGCTGTCTCCAAAACAATGGAGTGCAAATGGCTGGACAATCTGTCTTCCCACAAACAGAAACACAGACAAGGTAGAGATGTTTAATGCTTTCTTTGCCTCCGTCTCCAACAGCAACAACAGGCTAAGGGGGTCCCAGTGCCCTCAGCAGAAGACCGTGTTTGTGAGAATGCTAAATTCCCAGTCAAGACAGAATTTGTGGGGGATTCACTGACCCAGCTGGATCCCTGTAAGTCTACAGGGCCTGATGGGGCCTCATTAGAGAATACTTAACTGTCTGATGTCATTACAAAACCTCTTTTGATGATTTTTGAGTGGTCCTGGGAATCCAAGAGGTCCCATTTGACTGGAAGCTGGCAAATGTCCCAGCCTTCAAGAAGGGCAGGGAGGATCCTGGAAACTACAGGCCTGTCATTCTCACTTCAACGACTGTTAAAATTATGGAGAAGGTTATTCTGGGAGATACTGAAAAACTCTCATAGGACAACAAAGTCATCAGTCAAAGCCATCATAGCTTCATGAGGGGAAAGTTCATCTTAGCAAACTTGATTTCCTTAGGTTATAGTGAATGGAGTGACACCAGACTGGTGACCTGTCACTAGTGGCATCCTGCAGAACTCCATATCAGGCCCAATTCTTCTCAGCATCTTCATAAACCACTTGGATACAGGACTTGAAGATATACTAAGAAAGCTTACCAATGATCCTAAATTGGGAGGAACTGCTGACTCCCTCAAAGGCAGAGAGGGCCTGCAGAGGGTCCTAAATGAGAGATCTGGGCAATTGCCAGATCTCTCATTGAACTCTATCAAGCTTAAGAAGAGCAAGGGCTGGAATCTGCACCTGGGACTTTGAGGCAATCCTCAAAGTAGGGGCAGACTGGGGAATAAGAAGCTGGAGAGCAGTGCCACAGAAAGGGACCTGGGGGTCCTGGTCAATGGCAAATTGAACATGCCTCAGCAGTGCCCTGGCAGCCAGGAGGGCCACCCATGTCCTGGGGACATCAGGAACAGCATCACCATCCAGGCAAGAAGGGGATTGTCCCATTCTGCTCTGAGCTGGGGTGGCCTCACCTTGAGTGCTGGGGGGCAGTTTTTGGTGCCACAGTATAAAAAAGATCTAAAGCTATCAGAAAAAGTTCAAAGGAGGACTACAAAGATGGCAAAATGCCTAGAGTGGAAGACATGCAAGGGGTGGCTTGTTCAGCCTGGAGAAGGGACTGAGGGGAGACCTCACTGGAGTCTCCATCTTCCTCACATGGGGAAGAGGAGGGGCAGGCAGTGATCTCTTCTCTCTGGTGACCAGTGACAGGATCCAAGGGAATGGCCTGAAGTTGGGTGAGGGGAGGTTTAGGTTGGATATTAGGAAAAGGTTTTTCACCCAGAGGGTGGCTGGACTTTGGCACAGCTCCCCAGGAAAGTGGTCACAGCACCAAGCCTGAGAGAGTTCAGGGAGTGTTTGGACAATGTGCTCAGGCACATGGTGTGGTTCTTGGAGCTGACCCATGCAGGGCCACGAGTTGGACTTCAGTGATCCTTGTGAGCCCCTTCCAACTCAGAACATTATATGAATCTATGATTCTATATAAATATACTGTGACATTTGAAAGGTAACAGATAGAAATACTATAGAGAACTCACAGGGTTCTTTAAAAAGCTTATATAGCATTAGGATACAAAATAATGTCCTGGCACGCAATTAATGTAGACAACTGTACAAGGGAGAAGCACTGTTCTTAGATCTGCTTCAGTCTTAGTCCTCTCAAACTTCCAAATTACAGAAGGAAATTGAGCCTCCAATGTTATGTAGAAGCTGTGAACACTAGTGCTCCAGAACTCCACTCTAGTGCACTAGAATTTCAATTGACACAGGTCTCTGGCCAGATGGTCTGGTTTTGGCTGGGATAGAGTTAATTTTTTTATTAGTAGTCGGTATAATACTGTGGGTTTTGGATTTAGTATGAGAATCACAGAATATTCTGAGTTGGAAGGGATTCATAAGGATCATCAAAGTCCAGCTGTTAAGTGAATGGCCCATAGAGGAACAAACCCACAACCTCGGCATTATTAGCACCATGCTCTGACCAGCTGAGCTAACCTGTCTCAGTAATACTGATAGAATAATGCTGGTAACACATGGATATTCTGGCTGTTGCTATGTTATGCATATACTGAAAAGTCTTTGATTTGAGGTTTCATGCTCTGCCAGGGAGGAGCTGCACAAAAAGCTGCAAAGGAGCACAGCCATGACAGCCTGACTGAACTGACCAAAGATACTATACACCACAGAACATCATGCTCAGTATATAAACTGGGGGAGTTACCCAGAAGGGGGCCAGTCAGTGGAGGGGGGAACACTCAGCAGTCAGTGCTTCTTTTCTACAGAGAAGCCCTGCTCACAGGGCAGCAAAGATGTTATCTTGTAAATCTGTGTGTTGAAGAAAAGCAGAGAACAAGAGAACTGAAACAAAGACAGAATATTCAAGAAGAGGAACAAAATCTTTCTTAGACTGGTAGTAGTATTTTTCCACAGTGCAACACTATACAGTGACAACACAGTATGCCAATGAAAATCAATTAATATCTTTATTACATACTATAATGTGTGTATATCTATTATGTAACACATGAAGCAACAAATCACCACAGCATGAGGGGAACACTACAGAGCAATCAGACTTGTTTCCATTTTGCATTGAAGAACCTTGGCAGTTATTACATGGGCTTTAGAACAAATCAATCTTTTACTCCTATGGATTTCTGAACAATGCCTTATATTACTCCTTTTTTTATTACAACTATGAATGTCCTTCCAGCAATAATTTTAGTTCTCTATAGTCCCAGAATCATGATTCTCCACACACTAAGAGCACTACATTAGATAAAACGAGTGAGAAGAGAAAGGAAGAAGAAAAATGGGAGATGAGATACAGAGGGCTCAGTAAGAAGACCAGGCAAGTCTTCTTTCTGTGTGAGCACAAGCATAACAACAGTAAGTTCAACCTACCCAGGCAGCTGTACGATTCTATGAGCTCTTATGCATAAGGAAGAAGGGTACTTTCCCTCAATGAGCAAAATAGAGAAGTTTCTCAAAATTTAATTGTGGATTACTCATACTCCTAATAGTTGTAGCTAAATTAATCAGCTTGGCTTGAGTCATTCTTAAAGTTCTGAGTCACAGACTGGGAAAGGGAAGCCATTAGGTAAATCAAAGTTGTGGCCCAAAATTAAAACAAATATTTAAGACCGGGTCAGGAAAATATTTGCTTAATCCTATCAGTGTACATTAAGTATGGTATCTGCTAGTATAACCATAAAAGGTCTAGAAAGCTTTGTGGAGAAAAAAAAGTTGTGCTGCATGAGAGATTAAGTTTATTTAACACTAATGTGAGAGGTTGTAGTATTTCCTGATATTAAGAAATATATTGGAAGATGAACCCCTTATGTCTGAAGGGATATGGGAACACTGCTTGTCCTGTAACCTGGACCTAAATGCCCTTTGATATTTTTATGTTCTTTTTATAGGTAGTATGACACATCACATATGAAAAGCCTTGTTTTCTGAACAAGTAGGACAGCAAAACTTAAGGAAAAGTGCACAGTGATTAATAAAAAAGTACTTCCTTCAAAGGAAGGAATGATGCTAAATATTTCATCAGTACAGGAAGCAAGAGGTTTGTTTGTCTTCTCAAAATTCTATCTACCACAGAAGTTTCAGAAAACATACATTGACTAGTAAGACTAATAAGCCAATCAAACTGAAATAACAGGGTCTTGTGACAGTCATAAAATGTGCAGTCAGCAGGTTGCCTGTAGATAAGAAAATTACTAATTATTTTTCAGCTATAATTCAATATATTTAAACCTACCCTAGCAAATTTCCTTACTACGACAGTAAACAACAGCTATTAAGGCTAAGTTTAAGGGCAAACTAAATTTTTTCTTAAGCTTGTACAGCTCTTCAGTTAAGTACTGTGTTTCCCAGCTTTCTAATTTAGCAAATCAATATCTACTACAACTAAAAAAGCACTAAAATGAGAAAACTGAATATATAACAAATCCAGAATATCAATCTAATTGAAATCCCTCCATTCCAAATGTCCACAATGTAGGTAATCTGCAAAAATATTATTATGATGAATAAGAGCCTTAACACATCAACTCCACCATCATTTACCGTGTTTCTGATTGGAATTTTCTTCGGTTCTGTTGGCACATCCTGAGGAACAAATTTCACTGGTTCCTTAATTTGCCTCCTTGATCTTTTGGTCCCATCTGGTAAGGTTTCCATGGCAATATCAGCCTCCATATCACTGCTACCTGCCTGGTCACACTCTGAGCATTGCCTGCAAAGCAGAAGATTTTATTTTTAAAAGTGCAGTCACAAGAGCAGAAAAAGAAACATATTGAAGTGTTTGTGTTTAAAACAAATTCAAAAGTCAAAAGTCAAGAAATCAAATGGACATCTAAAATGTACATTTTAAGCAACCAAGCAAAACACAAGTAAGATATTCTTATTTTCCTGACAGTACTTAACTTCAAAAACCAAGACTCTGAAAGTAGAAATTAATCTTCTAGAAAAATGCCACCTATTTCATCATTTTCATTCTACCACATCTTCATTTTTAAAGCTGCCCACTGATCTCTAATCTATTAATTACTGTAGCTGCTGCTGCAATTTAATTATAGACTAATACAGTGGTTTGGATTGGAAGAGATCTTAAAGATCACCTAGTTCCCAACCCCCTGCCAGGGCCAGGGATGCCCTCCACTAGAGCAGATTGTTAATCTTCACAATGACATACTGCTGAATTCATTCCAAAAAGAGAGTATGCTTTAGTAGCAGGGATTTGGAGGACATGTTTGTTATGAAAATAACTCCTAAGGGAGTGAGTTTTAAATCTGAAAAAAATAATTAGGAGAAAATTACAAATACAGAAGCTAGAGACATACACTAACAAACCTGGAACACTACATTGAAAAAAAATGCCTATTGAGTTTCTGCAAAAAGTACAAAATCACCATCAGAACTTCAAAAATTAAGAGATGCTAAAGTAATGCTATTAACAAGCTCTGTGACAGAATTAGCAAGATAGGAATTCATCAGGATTTGTTTTTATTTGCAAAGAATCATCTTATACAAAGTCATAAATGTGGATGTTCAGTACAAGTATGTTAATGAAAACATAAACATTATACTCATTGGAAGACCCAGTTTTAATTACTTCTCATACTACACTTCCAATTCAGAAAACTACAAGTCTATTCAAATAAAGTCCAATTCATCACTGTTCTCCTATTAATTTTTTTTTAATAATACAAGAAAAAAAACAAACAACATAATGTTGTGCTATTAATTGACATTAACAGGGATTAGCACATTAAAATTCTCTAAATGATAAATTTGCTTTGGAAGGCAACAAAACAAAAACCCCATGTACTTAATTATTTGAAGTTAAATTTTAATACACCTTTGTAACAAAAAGGCATATCCATCCTGTATAAACAAAAGCACAAAGTCAGATACACACATTGTGTTTGAGCCTGTTTGTTGCAATTTACACATTCAATGGGAATAGTTATCCTATGAACGTCAATGCAGGGCAACACAATACCACATCCATCAACTTTCCATGTTTTCTAATTCTTATCAAGTAATCCAAGCAGTATTATCTCAGATTTCTCCTAGCTATACCAAAAGACACCAGAAGTCATCACGGTTCGCTACACAGACTGGTGGCTACCAAGTCCAAATAGAGGGAATCTAGTAATGGATTGGGTAACAGATCAGTGTAATGCTCACTAACTCAAGATCTTTCTCCTTTAACTTTTCCATATGTAAATTTTAGCTAATTGTGGCTACATTATAATGTTAAAAAGATTCATCATCTCTTATCTCAAAAGATAAGCGTGAATAAGATAGATGAAAGTACTTGGAATATTTGCTGGTCTAAAAAGCAGAAGAACAGGGTAGATTGCAGGAAAGATAACCGTTTCTCCCCCCTCATGCAAGTATAGAGTCTTTATGAAAAGCCAAAGCACAAGGAAGCCAGTTTATATACTTTTCAAACAGTTTTGTGCCAGCCTATGAGAATATAGTCCTGTGTTCTTCCTCCTTGTCCTGGTTACAGAGAAAAGGGGAATGGAGTTTTCAGCATTGTTTAATTCCACACCATGGACATTATCACTGGGGCCATGGGTTTGGCAGAAAGAGCCGAGAATCAAAAACTGAAAATTTGCCCATCTTGCTTGGATCTCTCCAGAGAGAAGGTGCTACAGTAATGAGTAATTTTTAAAAAGCATTTATTTTCCCCATTATTATGGTTAGAATATGTGCCATGTATAAATTATAGAAAAGGCCTTAATAACTTAAGAGCTGCATTAAAATGACACTGTTGTAAGATTAAAAAATAGTCATAGGGTTTTACAACAATATTTGGATTGGGGAATCCAGTTTCTTGGATCTACCACCCTGCATGTATCATTTAAATAATTCCTGTACTTTATCTCTCTGTTATTACAAGGGAAAGACACTATTTTTCTGCTACCTAGGTTCAGACAATTCTACAGAAAATACCCATGCAGATGACAAAAGTCCTGAAGTTTCACTATTTAAATATGTATGTGAAGTATTGTAACTTTTATGTTACTGAGGAAGACATGAAACATCTTCACCAAAACATGAGGTACTGCATTCAAGTTACTTAAATTCTGTTTTTATGAACAAGCTTGCTCTAAAACAGGTTATGCAAGTGTGAAAGCAGTCAAAAATGAAAAGCAATCAAAATTACAAAAAACCTAGATCGAGAAAAGAGAAGCAAAAGCATACTCTGATGGGGGTGAGGGTGTTGTGTCAATCACATAACAAAACTTCACAAATATACCAAAGATAAAGGGGGAAAGGAGTTATAAACATGAACTTACAAGCAACGTCTTGATTTACTGGAATAAGCTCTACTGTTATAGTCAACCATGTTTCATCATCCCTGTTACAAAACAGACAAGCTTCAACTATAAAGCAGTTTGTCTGTTAGCTCCCTTACAGCCACAGAAAAGCTATTACAGATACACACTCCTCTGACTTGGAAACAATCTCTTTTCAGCTCTTATAGTTTATTTCAACGTGGTTCTTGAATTTAAAGTACTCTTCCCATTCTGCTGTTTAATCCCAATATAGTCACAGAAAACAGCCACATGACTTTTTTTTGGCTGTGCCACAGTCATGCTCACTTAATTTCAGCTCTTCAAGGACAAGCAGTGAACAGAGAACCTGTCAAAGCAGGTCACCTTTAGAACTACTGCAATAATCTTTGACTACTTCTAAATTAGCAAGCATTGCTATGCAGCATAAACAAAACAGCAGGAGAAACAGTGCCAAAGATTCAACTTTCAGTACACAAGTTTTGTTTTGCTTTTAGTCTAGACTTGCCTAATCTAGACCCACAGGCAAAATCAGTTGCAGGCAATAATATGCCTACTTCTAAAATGTGCCTACTGCTAAAATTATTGGAAGTTTTTGTTCCATCAAGAACTCTCAGTACTGATTTGAAATCCCTTAATCATACAGAAAGTCTTTGATTAAGCACTAACAACCTACAGAAGTAAAACAATCTTGTGATTTTGTTGTGTTTTCAAACTAACTTGGTACAAAAATCAGAGATAACTTCCCACCTCACAAACCTCTTGTTAACTCAATAGCAGTGAGTCGGGAAAGAGTGTATTCAAATTGCTTAGCAAATACCACTACAGTGCTTCCAAAAAACAGTTTAGTCCTTGGTGTTTAAAAAGGAAAAAAAGCAGGGCTTGTTTTCATAAGGAAGACACAGGTCTCACAGACATGATGTCTGACAAATCACCCCTCACAATGTTTACAAAGAATTAAGCAACACTGAATTTGAGCAACATGGACCACAGCTTCAAGATGATACCTGACCTCTGTAAATTACAAATGTAAATTATGTACTGGAGGTGGAAAAAACCCAGGGCTGCTTTTATTCTGGAAATAAAAGATAGTATATATGAAACCAATACAGTTGTCAAAAAGTTTCAAAAAGCACCTTACAGAGTGTAAAGTAACAGAGTTTTAAAAAAAAAATTGCCATTTGGAACAATCCAAACATCCTTTAATTAGGACAAGTGACAAATACATTAAAATGTATATCTCATATTCCACACATGTTTATACTAGTTAATAATTTTATATCATTATACAATGTCTCAGGATGAAGAGGTGCTGGATCAGTACTAAAGAAGCAAGGTCAGGAATATGAATGAATGCCCAGATACTGCATGAGTGTTCATGGAACTGTTGGTCAGAAACTCTACCACTAAAATAACCTGGCCTTCTAGAGCAAAAATAAAACCAACCAACCTTAATACAACCATTAGTCCTTGTTTGTCCATCTCAGTCCACAGTATTTCATATGCTACCAGAAGTTAACACTGTTTTTCAGCAACCTCACTCCAATAGAAGAGGCTAATCCTTGTTGGTAGCTGGCAAGTATTTTCTTAATGAAAATGTCAATATTTTAAAATTAGATTTGATTCATTATATCATCTGCCAACACTTGTGCATTGCTTTAGTACCAGTTAAGATCATTCTCTATCAGGAAAATACATCCAGAATGGCCAGGAGCATAAAAGCACACAATTTGTCAGCAAGAATGGTAAGACTTAGCATTATGATAACATGATAATCAAAAAAATATTCAATTGTTTAAGCAATAGAATTTCTAAGAAACTGAAAATCACAGACTTTTAAAGGAATGTAAACCACAGCATTTCATTGTATGGTTAAAACTTCTGATCTAGGAGTTGGACTCAATCCTTCCAGCTCAGGATAGTCTATGATTCTACTCTGAAAGGAGAGCATCAAAACAGGCATAAATTAATGCTTTAATGTATTATATTAAATAATTCCTACACTCTTCATCCCAAATCCATCTGAAACGAGGACAAGCTTTCAACTTACTATGGTATAAACAGATGTGTAAAATGTTATAACTGTTACCTTAAAGAAAGCTGTTAGGCCTCTGAACAAAGAAAATTTCTAGTGTGAAGTACTTTAAACCAGTTCAGCTAGTAAGCCATGAAACACTGGTGCTCACCAGGTCGAAATTCTAACTATGATTTCACTAAGACCAAAATTGTTAACTCATTTTAAATTTTACAAACACTGAGATAATAAAATATAATTTGTACTTTCTTCAACAAATTAGCTTTTAAATACATAATATATTTAATTTTTTCTATTACAATTAACATATAATACTGTATTTAATTTAACAATTTCTAAACCTTTTTTCATAAACTGTAATTTAAACTATTAAATGCTGGGCATGAAATGGACAAAAAAGTATAACTAGAAATTAGTCTATATAGCATCACACACATAACTTGAATCACCTGACATCCTCAAACACAATATACAAGATGAAGTTTATGGAATAAACTCATGTTGAAGTACTCATTGTTTAAATAAACATATATTGGTAAAGTACATGATTGTAATCATAAAAACTTTTGCAAGGGCTCAAGTTAGCCATTCTGAGTAAATTATTAGCAGTGATAACAGAACATAAAGAAAAACAATTCTTTTTAATTATTTTTAAATTATTTAAAATTGTTTCTTGATTACTGTTTTAAAAAAGAACTACACTCAATGTTTTTAACCACTCTTAAATGAAGTCTTTCAACCCACCTAGTGTTTCAAGGAATTTCCCACTAGAACAATTTTCTTTCATTTTTCTGCTATATTCCTATTACATCCTATACAAATATCTGAAAAGTACATACCCCCATCTAAAAAAAAATATGCACTTTTCTGCAAATCTTAATCAAAAGATAAAAATTGTATTCAAAACAGCAGGGGAAGAAAACCCTGCTGAACTCAAACTTAGATTAAGGGTCTGTTCTATATGCTCTCTACTGATCCTGAAAAGAATACAAAAAGGAATGTTCAATGATGAAAAAGAATGCAATTAATGCAGCTCAATTTGTCTGCTATCATCTCACACTCCAGAATATGCCTGAGCTAATTAGAAGTAAAAGCCAAGTTTGTGATCTGAGCTATAACTGAAGCATGAAATTCACAACAAAGCTAAGTTATAGCTTTGAAATGAAAGAGCTTTACTACCTAACCTGACCTATCCTGCCTTTTAACACCTACTGAGAATTAGTCTTACATCTTTTGGACTGATAGCTTTTAGTGAGCCTTTTCAACTTTGTTAAAGCAGAATAAAAATCAAATCTCCTGTGTAAATGAAGAAGATACCTAAATTTTTATTTTTTTTTAAAGTTTCCACATAAAATAACTGCTTGGCAAATCTGACTAAAGAGATCAAAAGTCTAACAACACACTACATTAAATAATTAAAGGAAAATTAAGTTCAGGAAAGTATTAGTGATGGTGAAAATATTTTTGAGATTTTCATATTTTAAATGAAACGTCTATTAATTTGCTAAGCAAATTTACTGAAGTAAATCCAGGTTTTATCACAATAAGATATAAAAAAGAGAAGCCTCCCATTTAATGTACTGGCTATCTTGTTCGGCACACAATCTTCAAAACCAATAAACAAGATGGCAGAAGTAAATGTTTTATGCTAGTTCTTAAATTAAAAAAAATAGATATATATGAAGAAAAACAGTAATCTTTTTCTGTTAAAATACTTTTATCTTTTATTAATACTTTTCTGTTAAAATACTTTTACTGTTTTAGAAGCAATTCTTACAGTATTCTGATTTGGTACCTTAACATTCAGACAAGGTGACAAATGACTCCTCAAGATGTTATACTTTAACTTCTTGACAGATACAAACTGTTTCTGAGTTTGTTATAAAACATTTCAGAGCAGTTTAAGCATGCAGACTGCTAACACTACAGAGCAGAGCAAGCTAATTTTATGAGAGTTTGGAAATCATAATCTCTGCCACCTTATCACTTCTCCATTACACAACTTAGCTTTTGTTCTGCTCTGCTAGCATGAAAGAACTTTAATTTGTGGAAATTTAACTGCAGTAAGTACAGTTATGAACATCTGTCATTGTACATTTGAGTCCTAAGACAGCAGTAAACCCAACACTTCCCATATTGCAATAAACAGAGCTACTACTTGCAAGTTTATTTAAATATCACAAGTCTTTGCCTGAAGAACTGAACAGAGTTGCTTATCTGAGTCCTAACATAAACAGAAAACCAAGTCTCTTATTTCCCAAAAGTATTAGACCATAATTCCCTACCGCTATTATACTGCAGTAATAACAATCACAGATGAATTCAAAACCAAAGAAAATTACAGCTATAACCTATTTTTACACAGAAGCTAATAATGAGAAAATCTTTATAACTTTTTTTTAACCTTGAAACATCACTGCTAATAACCTGAAAATAAAAAAACTGCTCAAACTGCATTAAAGCAATGTCTAATCCACCCAGAATTTGCAAGTCTGTTCACATTTACATCCTACTTTAAGTACAAGAGTGCAGGACAACACATTAACTGTGTTCTTACCAGTAACTGTTCTTGGTCTTCCTTGGCATCCTAGTAAGAGGTGGATCTAAGCAACCAAGATGATAATGAAGTTTGCAAGTGTCACAGAGTAGCAGTAGGTGTTGATCATGATTCTTCTTGCAAATTCCACAACTTTTCATGCACGTAGCAGAAAAACATTATAATTACATACTCATAAAGAATAAACTATATACCCCAGCACATTCCCCAGTTTCAATACAAACATATGGCAACTTCAATTTGAATGTATCATTTAAGTGCATAATTACTTTTTGGAGCAATTTTGGAGGAGTTTTTTTAAGGAGCTTCCAGCAATGTACAGTAAAAGTATAAAAGGCTGCTAAGTAAGAGTTCGCAAAAAATGGCTTTCAATTAAATTTTTGAGGACTTCTAACAAGTTAGTAATCACTCAATGCTTCAAGAAAATATACGAGTGTCAAGTGAAAAAAAAATACAACAAATGCTTAAACAGAAAATTATCCTGCTAGTACCAATCTGGATAATCAATCACACACTTATGCAGGTAACCACCTTGAAACAGGTCTATGCTGCTGCTATGCTGGGCAATGTTACTCATTAGAAATTACACTTCCTTTTTATAATTATTTTAGTGTAATTTAAATTTTAGTTATTTTGAAAAATAGGTGATCACTGATTGCACTATAACATGGGAGGAACTGAGTGCATTTGAATAAAACAGAATTGGTGAAGCATGACTCCAATTATTTGCGTACATCAAAATTGCCAAATCCTCAGCCCACTGCCACATTTTCAAAATTTCTACCTCTTGCAGCATTAAAATTAACTTTTGCTTGTGTAAAAATCATCCTCTTCCCTTAGTCTTCTAGCTGGGCAAGACACTACTTGCTCTAGCTGGATGTCTGGCTGCTGCTCTCTAGATAAGCAATAGACCATGTCACTCCTCAGCTGTGGTGAGAAAAGAAGATCCTAGATGACATGCATGTATTTTGCACAGTCACAGTCTGGGATCCTCGTTTGTGTCCCACTATTGCATTTAGTAAAAACCCAGTCAGTAGCTTCACAGCTTATGGAAGAGGATAAAAAGGTGGATCTACGACAGAGTAAGTGAATACATTCCATAACCTTGGGAATTAATAAAAAATAGAAGTAGGGAAATCTAGCATGAACAAAAACTGAGAATTCTTATATGACAAGTGTTTTGTATATCCAGGAATTGTGACTGAACAGCATCATGACTGTTCTCAAAATAATCCACTCAGATGACTGCATTCAAAGAACAAAGTGCAGTTAGTTTTCACATCAAAAAAACAAAGGACTCTTCTAGTTCAGATGCAAGGAGTTAGTTTTGTCCTCTAAGCACTGCTGTCACATTAGCAAAAACACCCAAGCTTTAGTCATGTGTGGTAGGGTGAAGAACTGACCATTATTCAACTTAGTCTTCAAAAATAAGTAAAAAGTATAGACAACTTTAAAGCATTTTTTAAATTACAAACTGAAGCAAATAATTTTCTCAGAACACTTTTCTGAAACTATAAATTACTAGATATTGTATCTTTTCTATAAAAATTTAATTACTTGCCTATAAAGCACTGCCGGAAGTGTAGACGCCTTTTGTGTTCCTCCTTCCTTTTTACTTGGTTTCCTTTCCTTAGGAGCCCGTAAAATTGCTGGTATGTTCAATTTCTATTGGATTTGAAGAAATGCAATACACATGAGTCTTGACACTTTTTTAAAATATTTCTCTAATCTAAACGCATGAAGAACAAGACACATAATGAGCAGGAGATTGCTTAGCCAAGTATTTTACAGACAACACATTTATCCCAGTATGATTCTGTAATATAAAATAGTCTTACAGTCATTTTTTCAAGTCAGTAAGAAACACATAGAAAAACTAGCTTTTAGAATTTTTCTTCAAGCTTCCAATATAAGGATGGACAAGGATCCATTTCTCTAGGAAGCTGAAACAAGCAATGGCAGATTCATGAAAGTGGCAGAATACTGAGGTAGATTATTTTCCCCAGCATCACAGCTACACTGGTGCTCGACAGGTTAATTAGAAAAATTATCTTATTGGACCAAGCCCTTCACAAAGCAGATGAGACTCTCGTTGGGTTTCTACTATCTGCAGTGTGCTGGCTTCTCAGACAGCAACCATCTATCAAAGTCATTTCTCAGCAGCCCCATGGGTGTGCATCTGTTCAGCCAACTGGAAAAAAAATGGCATGCAAGCTGTGTAAATGAATTCTGCTCAGCTTTTCTTTTTTTTTTCCAAATTGAGTAACATTTGCATCAGGAAATATATTTGCGAATACTTACTCAAAGGAAGGAAAATAATCTTGGCTTAAAAGACATGTTCTGCAAGAATTCTTCTTTGCAAGTAGGAGAGGTAGGCAGATAAATAGAACTAGTAAAAGGTTGCATATCTTAGGAACTATTACTGCATAAAGAAAGTGTAAGGCTCGTTTTCGGAACAGCAGCACAAACTCAACAGTAACAAAGGGCGTACCAAAATTGTGACTAATTCTACGTCTGTATGTCTGCATTTCCACAGTGAACAGTTTTGTCAATCTTAAATAATAACTGGAAATCATTGCAAACTCCCTCTGACATCCAAAATGTCAACTGACATTTAATATCTCTGACATAAACACATATTAAAACACTGCAAAAATCTTCACTTCTCTTTTTCCCCGTATCAATGGGAACAAAGACAATTGCTGGCAACAGCAAGTAACCCAAATCTTCTGTTGTCCTAGATATTTATATTCATTTGATCAAAATATTCTCCTCTGCCTAGTTACACACCATTACATACATACTGCACTTAAAAGGATTTTTATCTTACAAGAGGCATAAAGAGTTAACTTATAATTTGAAACCTTCAGTAACTAAAGACAACTGGAGACAAAACAGTAGGATTAACTCATGCTTCATGCTAAGGTTCATCACAAATGACAGGTCAATCACTTATACCAAATGAAAGAATTTTGCAAACAAGCACACTATTACAACAACAAAATTAAGCTACACATTCCTAGTAGGTGGTTTGCAGAAGTCTAGATACGTCAATCAGGAAGCATTATCTCCTGAGTAAAGCCTGGGTCTGATCAAATCAAATAAATTTATTCGGCCATAGAAGTGGCAGAAACTAAAAAGGCCTATTCTTGGAAAACCAGCTCTGCTGTTTTATTTCTGTAAAGGGGGCCAAAGAACCAACCAACCTGTCCAATGATTCTACCCAGCAGAGCCCAAATTCCTTGCCCCTCATTTCGCAGTTTTCCATTCATATTTTGTAGTTCTTCCAAGGATTCACACAGCTGAAAAATTAAAGAGAAAAAATAGGCAACAGGAATGAAAATCCATTAAGAGCTATTAAGTAAAATTTACTCGGCCTCTTACTTACCAAGGGTGCAATAATTTATTGTGGAATTAGAAAAACAATGAAACTCATATCAATATAGCTGAGATCAGTATAACCATTCATTAATTTAACAGAAGTAAAATAAGAACTCAGAGCAACCACTTGTTTTGTAAAGACTGAAGTATTTCAGTATGGACATAAGGTTACCACACTCACATAAAAATAAAATTTAAAACTAAAGGCTGTAAGCAAAAAAAAAAAAAAAAAAAATTCTTTTTCTTCTGGTAATAATTTTTAGGTTGTGTACTTTGGGAGGAGGTAACTGTTAATTTGATTAAAGCCCCAGACACAATTTCCTTTCCCTTTATCATCTCTGGGCAGTTCAGCAGTTCACAAGGATCTGCTACTACATTTTCTATATGCTCTCATTTAAAACACACACTAGTTTAGGAATTAATAGTAACACCATTTTTTGTCATCATTAACTATCACTTAATAGGCTGTTGAATGCAACATGTCATCTGTCATATAGGGTACCATATATCTATGCTTCAAAATCACTTAATTTTAAAATAAATATTTATTTAGTAAAAAATGCAAAAAGTTCTTTTTTAATCATAATGATGAGTTAATAAAAAATTACACTAGCAACATTTTGGGGTAGCAAAGTCATAATTTATGGGCATCAAATTTGTTATACCTTAAAAAGCATGCAGAGGACACTGAGGATATTTGAATATTTATTATTTCTGTCTGAAAAGTTAGTCAATTTATTAAACATAAGCCCAACTGGAGCTGCAGTTGACATACATAAATAAATAACAGTCCTGAGTATCATAGATTGCCAGTAATCAAGTGAGGCTACAGGCAGAGAATCATGCAGGTTCAAACAGGTCAATTTGCAATTTGTTCCTGGAGCTCTCAGTAGGGCCAGTTAAAGAACCTGTGCCCAGTCAACATATCACATTTTAGAAATTGATATTGCTTGTATGGGAGAAGACAGACTAATGAATATTTTTAAAAGAAAAAATACATCTTTAAATATTACTTTAAAAAAAACAATAGTTTGCATCTTACATTTTCCTCTGAATTTGTTTCCATGGAAAGAAAAATTCTATCAAAGTTAATTGCAGAAATACTAAAATGTTACAAGGGTTTATCACCCCTTTTTCTTTACCTTATTATACTCCACATGAAGCTTTTCTTGCTCATTTTCTAATTTATCCTTGATGTTCTTCTGTTCAGCCATATTCTCCTGGATTTGAATCATGCGCATATTTCTCTCTGTTTAAAAGAAAACTGCATTATTTCCTATTCTTGAATATACATTTTCAAGTTTATGCACTAAAAAAAGTGATGCAATCTAAAGTAAAAAACTATAACAATAAAAAGACACAAAGCTATGGCCTAGAGGTTTAATACATACACTGAGTAGAATGAATAGTCATAACATTTGTATTTTGCCACATAAATATTGTAGTTTAAGATTAATTTTGATCAGCATCTAGCAAAGAGTCAAAAAGTCATGCTATTCCACACAGAAATGGAGGAGAATTTAAGGAAAAAATATTACCAAAAGTTACCTAATCCCTTCTTAAAGACAGTTTAGTCTCCTGTTTATATTTGAAAGATTTTATTATTTTCTGAAGTGTCTTTAAAAAAAACCACTTTGTGTGTAAACAGAGACTCCAAGCAATAATATACCTGACCTAAAATGAAGTCATATTCCACATGTATCTACTATAAACAATTAAATACAATGAAAATAAAAAGCCAATGAAATAGCATAGCACAACGCAGCAGAGTGGTATCTTTTCATCGAGAAAAATAAGCCATTTTCACCCTTACCAAGGTAATAATTCACAAAGTCAGCAGTGAGAGCTGGTTGTTTATGTTTTCTTCTTCCATCAACACTGGAACTTGTATCTGAAGTATCCACTGGGAAAATGTCCGTGCTAATTCCCATCAGCTCAGCTTTGCGCATGAGCTTCCGTATGGCCGAAGCGCTGCTGGTGAGCGGCCGCGGCAGCTTCTCCCTGGGAACCCAGGCCTGGGGCCTGGTGGTGCGCGCCAGCTCCGCCTTGGCACGATACTGCTGGAGCCTGGCATTGATTCGAGCCTGCAATGAAGAATTCCACAAATTAAAAACATCAAGGAACAATTCAAAATTAGTTTTGAGTTACAGTTTGGAATACATCTACCTTTTATTTTCATTTTAAAAGCTAAAATTAAAATCTAATCAATGCCATTTTCACACCAGAACTCTACAACTCAAGAAACAGACATTGATACAGACATTCCATTTTACTGCAAAGTGCACACACAACTGACATTATCCTTTCATAGGTTTAGGTTTTGGAGCTATGTACACATTTTTTTATGAGATTTCCCCATTGATGAAAGCAACAGATGACTGCCGGCTTTGAGACAGCCCCTTCTAATAACGATAATTTGATGGGACTGTGAAAACTCACTACTGGTAGAAGCTCTGGTTGACCTACCACATATGCATTTAGATACATATTAAATTGATATTTATGTGAGCAACAAAAGTTGATTGAGAGTGTTTGTACCATATTTGACATACTTTTGTACAACTCCTTCTCAATGCCACTTCTCTTTATAAATGTTAAACTTGCTGATTATAATTTGTCAAGAAACAACCCAAACAGAAATGAAGCAGACAAGAGAAGCTCACAATGTATATTGTTGTTGACATCTGTATATTTGTGACCATCTGGGAGATCTACCCCAGAAGATCAAGCTGTTACTGACAGTTGGAAAACACTGTCTTGAGGGAACTCTATGAAGTGGCAATCCTGGCAGAAACTGACATCAACATACAAACCTTCAGAGGCAAAACTCCAACTCACTATCAGCTAGAATCTGTTTACATGCCTGCACAAGGAAGAAACTAAACTAATGTGACTGCCCTACCATATGGTGAAAGATACTCCTGAGACAAAAGCAAAAAGTGTGCATATACATACACACTATGGTTAGGGAACATCTCTGATTTCAAACAGAATCACTGAAGGTAGTACTGCAGACAGTTTTTACCTTACCAGGTCTTGAACATGAATGACTAAGAAACAAAGCAAATATAGCTTACAAGCCAGCTCTGATCCCAGTGGCTTTTTTCTTGGACCCACAGCAGCAGGCAACAGGTCCACCTACAGCCACTGCTGTACGATACCAAAGCCCCCAACAGTGAAAACATGTGGTTGTACAAAACATATAAAAGCCATCATACTTGTATCAAAGTGCCCATGACATCACGTCAACTCCACCTGCAGTTTTCAAAAGTCATTCTTCAGTTTCAAAAAAATTAATCTAAATACTTTAGATTTAAAAATTGCAGGGTCTTGATTTGGGGAAAATAGGAGCGAGAAAGGGAAATGCTGGGAACTTATCAACATTATCAGCACTGCTTAATACATGCCCGAAAACAGAGCTAATAAGCACTGCTGGATCCAAACTGATACTGCACAACCAGCACTCACCATTCTATTGGTCAGTGTTCATATTATTGTAATGTCTCCACTGCACAGGTGCATTTCACATAACTGAGAGTCGAGTATATTCAGCAAGAATTATGGAACCAGTTTTAAATCAAGCTACATGAAGTTCAATACCTCATAAAATATTTTATTCACAATTCTTCTACTGTACAAATTTGCTCATGCTCATTGTCAATAGCTCAGGTCATTTTAAATTAATATTCTTCTATTCAAAGATCTCTGAAGAACTGGAAAGGCCAGATCTTTTAAAATAAAAAGTTTGATAATATGAAACAGTATTTTCTTATCATTACACTATAACTCTCACTTCAGAAAAAAAACAGATAGTCCTCTCCCATAAATTATTTCCATTATTTACAGCATCTGTTACTTTCTACAAATAAATCAGGCAGGTTTTGCTTAGGTAACAAGCTGCTTTTCTGCACAGGTGTGATTTTTCCATGGAATGCAGTTCAGTCTAAGCAGTGAAGCAAACTATGCCAGAAATTGCTCAGAATCAGAAAAAATAAATAAAGGATACACATTGAAACATGAAAGTATGTAGATACCCTCAGAGGAGGGTATTAACAGGATTTTTATCAGTTGAGCTTCTGCAATAACGAAGTTTTAAACGGCTCTGTCACTAGACAGGGATATAAACTTGCCTAAGGCTTTCACACAACTCCCACGCAATAGCACAGACTCACTTCTTTGCATACATTATTTTTTTTCCTAGGAAGTCTTTACTATGAAAACACCTGGCACACAGAATTACACTTAGACCTATAAAATTGAAAGTTAGACAGAAATAGAAATGCCTAATTTTTTCTGGCAATTTTTCTTCAGAATCTTGAAGAAAATGTTAAACAAAATCTATGAATTACAATGAAAAAGTAATTACCAATTTTTTACCTCAAAACCAAAGTAATATTTTTCAATTCAGAAAAGCACAGATACTTGATATTTATTGAAATAGGTATGTAATATATATGAGATATACCTATATCATATATACATATAATTGTTCTTAGAGATGAAACCCTACAAACAGTTCCGTGTGCTGTTAAATGATCATGCACTATTCCACATTTAATTTTGTACTATAATAAAACTTTTACCTTCTCTTAACTTCTGTCTTGTTTACCATGGATTATTAAATACAGGGGCACTTCTGTCACAAATACAATACCTGAGCTTCTGGTGAAAGCTGCTTTTCTCTTTCCTGCAAGGACATTTTACAGTAAGATTGTAAAGCCAAGTAGTTCTTCCGCTTCCATTTTCTGTCTAACCTGTCCGCATGCTGTTTACAATAAGCAAAAAAAGGGTCAGCTATATCCTGTTTCAAAAAAACAAAGGGGAAGGAACAAAAATAGAGTGAGACAAAGGCCAAAGGGCTCTGAACAGCACAAACATTTTGGCAATCAGTTCACATGTTCAAATGGGCATGTTTTTTAAAAAAATCAAAAGTATGTTTTTAAATCAATTTTGTCATGTTGATGTAATTTCCAGTATAAGGAGTTTTTCCATTGTTTTTATTGCATGATCCTAAATGTTTTTAAATGCATTAACGATTTAACTCTCTCCTAGCCAATCTCTGTACTATATTTGCATTCCCAGGAAAAGAATCCCAGCAAAATAAATTATTAAGTACAAATCCCTTTAACATATAACATGTATTAATCTCCTGTTGATTCACTGTGCCTTTTAAATAAAATCCTAAAAGTACTTAATAATTTTGAATACTATCAAATGCAATACATTTGTTTTCTCTGTTTTTCCAACCATTTTGGTGGTTATGCCCTCACATGATTTATCATCTCTCAAATGATTTTTTCTCCATTTTTTTTATTCCATCATATCTGCACACTATCATGGTTAGGTTTATAGCAACTTTCAGCACACGCAAATCTTGCAGGCAGACTACACATATCTGAGCCAGGAGGAGCCATGGTTTGAGAAATACGTTTCATTGCCTTTGTACTTTCAAAAGTGTACAAACATCATGAATCCACAGACTAAGAAAAACTTAGAGCAGTCTTCCTTCATAAAGTAATACAAATATTAATAAATTACCAGCCTATCAAATTTCCCTTTACTCCACTTATAAAACATAGAATAATAAAATTTACTCTGACTTTCCTTACAAGCACATTTTACTTTAGTTTAGATTTTCACAGTATGAGACGGCTTACTTCAAAAATTAGCCATGCCCTAAAATGAGATTTTGTGAGATCTTGAGAAGGTGTGAGACCTTGACTAAAAATTTGACTGCAGACAACATGTAACAAAATTTTAAGGTGGAAAGGAAAGCAGATACAAATATCCAGAGGGGATTCACAGAGGGCATTTAAAGACTCAACCAAACACATAATCTATTAAGAACAATAGCAATGAGGCAATGTGCTATCTTCCTATTTATCGGTCCAACAGAAGAAAGTATTTTGTGATTCCTTCATGAATCCCTTAGTGGTCCACTGTTTTCAGAAACAAAGGTGTCAAGATTGACAGTGAAAGTAATGTTTGTTTTTGTGTTACTGCTGCTACTTCCTAAGGCAAAAAACTATATTGTGTAGCCATGAACATGATACGCTTAATCAAATTATATGAATCAGGATGAAACTGGACAATGAACTTATACCACAAAAATGAATCAGGAAGTAGGAACTTAAAGTCTGAATTGCTTTAGATCATATTACAGGGGAAAAACTGTTAAGAAAAGATATTAAGAAGTTATCAGGAGGTTATAAATACTTGCTTTTCATTTTGCTTCCAAAGATTAATGTTACCACAAGGAAAGTCATATCTATGTAATACCATTTGAAGTAAATACTGGAAAACACACATGAAAAAGTCGCATCAGAAATGCTTTTGATTTCTCAAGTTTCCTATTTGGTATGAAGCAGAGATTACTGTACTACACAAACAGCTAGAAAACTATGTCGCCCTATGTGAAGTTCAGGAAACAGAATTCCTGTCTGTATTGGCTGACAGTCTGTTAAGTCAAGTCTGTGTTAACTTTCTCTATCCTTTTTTCCAGTCAGTTTCAAAAGAAGCTCAAAGTTGGACAATTTGGTGAAGGGCTCTCCCTGTACAGTTCCTCTACCCAGCCTAGGCCTTGTTACCTACTTAAAAGCTTTGTTCAGGACCTATGAACAAAAAAGATACCATTTCAGGCCATCTCCATAAGCTTTCATTAGAGATCTTTTATTCTATACTTTCCATGCCCACCTCTTCTGCTGCTGCTTCTGAGAGGAGGCCTTCCTTCTGAGCACAGGTCACATGGAAATAAGCTCTGCACATTCCAGCATCACAACTAATGCATACACCAGTTCTGGCAAAACGAGGATCTTCACAAAAGCTGCACTCCTTCATAAAGACAAATGGAAAAAGACCACAGTAAATATTTCAGGCACACTTTTACCAATATTTGATAATTTATGTCATATATAATTATATATATATATAATTTATGTCATATAAACCAAACTGGTAGGTGACTCCTGAGTGTACAGAAACCAAGTATGCTCCCAATGGTTGACACTACTTAAAGCTTCCTGTTTTCTCAACTCCCACCATTAATTACATTTTTGACAATGGTAACGTGCTTAAATAATTTAAACAGCATGTTGGATGAATTTTTATATAAACCTCCATGTATTGCATTCCCCTTCAGCAAAACAACTAAATACCATCACAGCAATTCAAGTACAATTAATGTTATAAGCATGGTATAAAAAAACCACCACTCCTCAGCAAATGTTCAACAAGTTCAGAGGACAAACAACAATAAAAGAGCAGCACTCTGAATGATTAAAATAATAGATAATTATGTACATGTCCTTTGATAAGCAATGACTGAGGAGTAAACATGTGACAGTGCCAAAACAAATACTCAAAAAACATAAATATCAGTAAGAAAGGTTGCAATTCACTTAATTAACTATGGCTTCAGATACGTGCATTCTAGGCACAGTTACTTGCAAATCAATGAACTGACATCCCCTAATACAACCTGAAAAAAAAACAATTAAGTTATTTTTGAGTCAGATAAATTCCTCAATCTCCTTCACCACAATTTCAAACCAAATCCCTGTGCTAGCAATCTAGAGAAATGAGCAGATAAGCAGGAAATGGGAACATGCCCTGCTTGAGCAGTGCTGCTATCCAGTACATAAAGATGAGCTAAAATTATACAGGCGTGCATTTCCTAGACTCCTACTTGCTGAATAGAAAGCAAAGCCATCTACCACCTAGAGAAAATATCTCCATGCAGAAAGTTAAACAACAGAAGGGAATGGTAAGGAAAACTCAGTGACTGAAGAATCTCAAAACATCACATGTGCTACACTAGAAGGGCACCCTTTAGCTGTGTAGCTGCAACACCTAACAGATAAGAAATTAAATAAAAAACCCTATTATATTAAGCTGGTTTTGAAGGGGGAAAGTAGCAAAATAAGCTGTTAACTTCCACATTTAATATAGCAAACAACATTTACAGCTTTCCAACAGTAATGAGTCTTCTTCACATGTACAGGTCACTTTCACCTTACTCACAGCAAGACAAGATGCCCAAATTCTTTACCCGATCCTATACATCACTCATGTTATTAAAAAAAAAGAGTATGATTAATTTCAATAACAGTTTGTAGGGTTTGGTGTGCTTGCCCCTCCTTTTACAAACATTTCTAAATAAGGCTAAATACCTCAGAAAGCCCAGGCTCCTCCTGATACAGGTATGTTGTACATGGGCAACCCACAGTCTTTTCATCTGTTTTATATACTGTATGCACTTGAATGTGAATTTTGCATTCACTGTAAGTGCACTACACATTTTTAGTATTCTATTTAACAAATAGAAAAAAATCAAGAAAACAAAAGTGACTTATCAGAAACAAAGCTTTAGAGCTGCAGACTTAGAAACAACCACCTTCCCTCACACTGGCCTTATAGACATGGCCTCTCCATACTGTCTCCATTAGTCACACAAACAGTATTTAGCAAATTAATGAGTGCTGTCCTCTGCCCACTGCAGTGGTTTTCTGTATGGTTTGTTCATGATTAATTTTGATCTGGCCTGAAAACATTTACATGTAAAACAATTTTAACTTTAGAACCATGTATCAGTTCACTTTGAGGGTCCTGTGTTGCTGTAGATTTTGGTTAACACTGCTTTGGAACAGCCTGTTGTATGCATACTAGCTTACATATAACCTCTACAGCAGTTCTTACTGAACGTACATCTGCCCCTTTCTTGGGGCAGATAGGAAGTTGCATTTTATTCTATTACATGTAAAATATAAAATACAACAACTTGCTGCCACTACATCTCTTCTAAACTTACCTTTGCACCATACTTGGAATAATTCATTTCTGTTAGTGTTACTGGCCGCAGCTTGTCAATATCTCCAAATGCCACTCCTGGAACATAGAGGGCACAAACAATGTGGACCCACCTAAAACAGCGGACAAAATTAGGTTACTCTTATCAACATTTTGATCCAATATTATACTCACCATTTTCAGATTTCAAAGTGCCTTTTAAATGTTGCAGATGCTAGCTGAAACACTTGAAGGAAAGTACATTAAAAAGCAGGGATAGAGTGCCTATTTGAAGTTCAGGAGCTCAGACACTGAATAAGGCTGTCTGGATCATTGCTCTGCCTGCCTAGATCAAGGGCTGGGCTACCACCAACTTTTGTGTTCTAATGCCTCTCCCAAGGGCTCCACACACTGCCCAAGGAACATGAAAAGTGCAAGATTATTTTGATATTACTTATAAAGCTAAGGCAGACAGCTATTTTACGATGTGGCACGGGGTAGGAAGGGAAGGCAAAAAATTATACAGGTAGTCACAGCAACACTGTGCTCTAAGCATATAGCTATGAAGCACTTACAATACAGCATCAGTCAGACTTTGCACTGTTAGTTACACCTGCTAGTATCACCAAAGCTAACTAGTTTTAAGCAACATCAAGAAGACTTGCATTCAGGAATAAACACATCTGGCTAGTTTAACAGAAAGGCCTATCTGAAACTCTAATAAACAGACTTAGTTTACTTAGTTGTTCCCTTCTTCACTGGCAATAAAAAAAAAAAAAAAACTAGAGTAAGAGGTCCAAATCTTCAGTGCTGAGGAGCAGAAAATGAATCTGGACTTTACAGTACAGTTATCAAATGCCACACAATGGTAAAGGCTTCAGCCTCAAGACTGCTCTTGACAGGCACCTTCCAAACCTCCTGAAGCTCTCAGCTATCCAAAACCAGCCTTGCAGAAGAAGACAAATTTTCCTCTTCTTTTACTTCCATTGTTCTGTAATGAACACTTTCTAAAAGATCCAGCTCTCACTGTCACAAACCATCAGTTAGCAACAAACTCAAAATCTGTTCTGCAAAGCATGCATGACTCAAACTATCTGAGAAAAACTACTGCAAATAATCTTACTGTTTTATCAAAATTCAGGAAGTATTTGCTACTCCTTGCTAAGTCACCAGGTGGGAAAAAGCTGTGATAGACAGAGAGTCAAGATTGCTATTTTTTTGTTATTTTAAGATATTCAAGAAGATGGCCTTTCAATTGCAGAGACTGTAGCTAACACTTTGAACCTATAAAGTCCCACATGATATATAATACAAGTAGAGACTTCAGACGTAACTGACCTGAAATAGCCTGTTTGAGTCTCAGCAAGTGTGTTAATTCAGCACTTTATAATCTTCCAGTCATTATTATTTAACAGTAAACGTAACACTAGTGAAAACTAAATCTCTCTTCTGTTCTAATCAAATAATAGAATCTACTCCCTGTATTCAAGAAGACTCATGATGATGTGAGAAACACTTCTTCCCTTGTCTCTTTTACCAGGAATTCAGTACAGACCTGTTACCACCTGCTAAAATCCACACCCATGCTGTTGTGTTCTTTTTCCCAATCTTCTACCATTGTTTAGCCTATATCTCTTCTCCCCTCTTTCCTATCTATGTCAATTTAAAAAATGCATTTATACCAGAGCAATAACATCCTGAGTTCAAGTGCACTTAAAACAGCTACTGTTATTAACTAGCTGCTTACAGATGAGAGACATACTGAAATTTATGGTTATATTATTCAGGAGCTCCATGTAGCCCTGGTTTCCCAAAGCAGCACACTTCTCACCAATGGTCCTTAGATCTAAAATGCTGGAATTTATCACACTCAGATTTATCAAGTTTCATGTTATATGAATCATATATCCCAAAAGAAATTCAAAAAAAAGTAAAATATGTAAGGTTCGGTAGCAAGCTCAAAAATACATCTATATTTCAGTCTTTACAAAAGAAAACAATGATCTTTCAATGCACAAAACTGGTGGATGAACTATTTACTTACCATTTTCCCCCAAAAGAGTCCAAGATACTAACTGGATAACAGAAAAATCCCAGTAACAGTAAGAAACTACTTAAAAGCCACTAAATCGCTTCACTCTGTAAGAAATTTCCCAGTAAATCTAACAAGCCACAGCACTGACTGATCCATTGTGTCATATCTGATAGGATTCTTTTCACTTGTATATTTAAAACCAAGTATTTATCCTGTGATTAAATCATTCAGGTTTGGGATGCTAAGTAGTAAATTCCTTTTAAAACATATAAACTTAAAACAACCAGAATAATATTTATTATGCATTGATAGGTAAGAACTGCATTGTTTTACCCCCACAAATTTTACTAGAGTTCTTCACATCCACAAAATTATTTGGTCACAGCACTGTTACTATAGGAAGAAGCAAAGGAAATTTAAATATGACTTACAACCTTGTCTTTAAACAATGTAGTACAAATATGGGAGCCTGCTAGCTGCCAGAGAACAAGCTGAGACCCTCAAGTGTTCTGCCAAACCTCTTGCTGCTCAGAAAGGGAGTAAACCTTGTCAGTGGTTTTATTACAGCAGAAACAGTCCAGCATGCCAGCACAACCCTCTAACTTAATACGATGTTACATGCAAAAAATCAGACTCTTCTCATTAGTACATGAAAAGTACATCTTCTGTCTGACTCCCCAGAAAACCAGTGGAGGCACAACCTATCCCTGCAGGGGAGCAATGGAGCACCTGGTACCACCTCTGCCCTTCCACACCGTATCCAGGAGTGGCAATAGCTTGGCCTAAGTCACTACCATATTTTTATAAAATGTTCCTCTACTAAAAATGCATATGTATGTGCTTAAATGCACATTTTGGTAAACATTATGATTTACTAAAATAAATACCTCGTTGGCATAAGCATATTGTACTTGTTTTTAAAAGGAAATTTAAAAAAAATGCAAAACATGACAGAGAATGAGACCTGTAACCTTGAGATAAATACACTTCTTGTTTGTAAATAAAAACATCAGAATTGTGTAGGGCTTCTCTTCTATACTCTTCCTGTAAATTAAGGTATGTAATAAAGAACAAATCTTTATAAACAGAAGTTATATATCTCCACAATTACTATTCTTAACAAAAATCCAAGGTTCTGGTTAGAGATTTTTGATAGTAAGTTTTAATACAGCCTACTAAACATACTCTCTGAAGTTCAATATAAAGATACACATCTACAATCAGCTGCTTTCTCAATTTAATTTGCACAGTTTTTTCATGCTCCACTGGTGTATTTAATGCTGCTGCACTCTGTAGGAGTTTATCTATGATAAACCAAACAGCTGGCTGCTTGCTTCATACTGACCTTCTCAAAATGTTTTAGTACATGTCACCCAAGTATTGCAGTACTACAGATTTAAACTGCCATTTCTGTGTGATTGGCACACAAGTGCCTCATTTCTTTAACCACCTACATGTGAACTCAGACCTGAATCCTTATTAAAAAACATACACAAGTCAGCCAAGTTCACAGCTGAAGCAGCTTCAGCTGCTTTTAATACCAGTTCTAAATATTTTCCTGTTCATTTATTTAGCTGCACATGTTTTAGAAGCTTGTAATTAAGACAAATTGGGTAATCAAAGAAGAATAATCTTCCTTGTTACTTTACCATCCATTTAGCTTGGAGCAATGATGACAGATGTTGATTAGGAAGGAAGAAAAACTCCACACTGAAACAAGGACAGAATTTATATTTTTGGATAATAGCATTTTGAGAAGTGAAATGTCATAAATTCACATTTATACTTGTGAAACTGAGAGATTAATGTGAGAAGGCTTCTGCTGAGAAATTAAGCATCTCATTATTCTAATGATTCACCTTCCATGTAAAAAGAGAGAAATTATTCCAATTCAATTATGAAGAGAAACTGATTAGGTTTGGTTTGTGTGATTTTCACCATTGATGCATATGGAAAATTTATTTTTAAAAGGTAGTAAGGTGATGAAGAGCGATGGGGTAAAGGAATCTGTTACTCAGTAGTCTCTTCCTCCTAATACATCAAGCAAAGCACTGAAATGGATTACAGTTAACTGAGTACAATGGAAACATCATGGACACTGCCCCAAGACCTTATCCCTAGTCTATAGTGCCCCCGTATCCCTGAGAATTCAAATTTATAAATAAGTAATAAAAAAAGAGCACAGGAATTTTCACATTAATAATGTTAACTAGCAAATAGCAATTGGTATTTGTTTTTCTAGTACATAACCTCTTCATCTGGGAGAATAAAATTATCCAGGATATCAATATCATATTATCCATCAAATAAAGATACAATAAAAATAATAAAATATTGCGATAAAGCCCACTGTCAGCAAGGCAGGCATGTGCTCCTGTACACACAATCAATGTAACAAAGGAAATACTTCCAGGTTAACTAAAAGCATTCCACCATTTCACAAGAAAAAATGTAAGCAATTATTAAAATGTTGACTCATAATTTCTACTACAATAATACGGAAAGTCATATATAGGGCTTAAATTGTTTGCAGAAGACAACAATAAAAAAGGCTGAAATAAAATTTGCCAGGTGATATCAAGTCTCACATTTCCTGTTGCACAATTGACTTACAATCTTTAAAAGTAATTTTCTTGCATATACAAGCACTATTATCAAAACAGAAAACAACTGGAAAAACACAATTTACTTAGCTGTGTAAAGGCTTTAAAAGGAAAATGCACATACACTCTTAAACCTACTATAGACCAGAAACGAAGATCTGAACCCTAAAGGTATTTAAAAAGTCCTAATACCTCCAAGGTTCAAAATTATTCACTACAAACCTTGACTCATTTGTGTTACTTTTTTTTAAAGCTTATGAAAAGCCCAGCACCTGAAAACTTTGCCTTTTATCACACACCTGTAATTTATGCAACCATAAAACCATGCACATAAAGCATAAATCAGACATTACTTATAATGCGGCTTTTGCTTTAGTACAGATAATTAGTTATCATTAATATGTACATCTTAATTTATTTTCAAATGTGACAGGAATTGAAGACATCATGAGACTTGAACTGCTTATTCTCAAATTAGATGTGAATTCAATCCTAAAAAGAAGAATATTCTCAAAAATCAAGAATGTAATCTTCATAATTCTAAATAATCATAATGTAAAAGGTCTGTCTGAATACCTTTAGCCCATCTTCAATATAATTTTGCTATGCTACCTTTTCCCATTACCTGGCATTACTGAACCAGTCCTTTGCTCTACTAAAATAAAATATACAGTTTTCCTCCCATTTACATCCTACTTGAAAGTCAATAGACTTGAGCAGAGTCTCTACAAGGAAAAAACTCAATCTTTTAAAGGCAAGATGACATCAAATTCAAAACATGACTTATTCAGTCTTACCTGCCTGCATCAGTCTCCTTGAAGATTCCATCCTGGTTGGGACACAATTCACAGCTAGGTGTGACACCACATTTGCATGCATCACAAAACCAAGGCTCTGTGGAATTTTCTGAAGCTGAACTCATGATAGAGTCACTCTCTCCATCAACACCATAGCAACCTACACACAGGACAAATGGGAGATCAATACAAGAAAAGACAATTGTAGAAGCAGCCACTTGCCACTTATGACTTCAGAAGGAAACCTACACATAGACAGATTTGGGGAATGGTTAGTGCAAAATTTACACTTTAAAGTCAGTTTAATTCTAAAAAGTCACCTGTTTTATGTGATTAGTCACCTGTTTTATGTGATTGTATTAGATTTACAACTGAAAAACAAGATGAAAAAGACTGTTTTACTTATTCTTCTAGCTATACTTGGTGATCTTCCAGACTATGCATTAGGAAGAAAAGTAAGAAAACAAGACTTGAAGCAACCAAAGACTAAAAAAAAAAAAACTCAATGCGGTTTTTTTTGAGTAAAGAAATATATTTCAATATAAAAGCAAAAACCACTTCTCCCTGGAAATGAACATTTTTTGGAGGGAAGGGGAAAGTGTTTGGATTCTAGAGGTTCATTATGTCAGTAAAATCCAGTCAACAAACATGCACTCCACTTTTCCACTTTGCATTCAGCACACCGATCAACTACAAAAGAATATGCACATGAAAAAAACCCCACTATTTACATACTTTATGTGTAAAGAACATACTTTATGTATAAAGGTCACTTTATGTGACCTTAAGCACCCTTGTGCAACTTCAAAACCGAAGTATAGTTTGCAGAGCACAAACTGACAATTCTGAGACACCACACAAGTGATTGATGAAATAGATTTATATTTTTTAAGCACTGTCATTTGTACCTGGTTTTGAATTATAGCTAGGCTCAATCATTCAGTTTCTCCATTCCTCTTCAGTACAATTAGGGTATTCTTTATGACTGCTAAGGCACCTATGCATGCTTAATAACCACAGATTTAGGAAATCAGTGTATTTAAAGTGATTTGTTATTTAAATCTTGCACAAGAGCAAGAGTTGTATTAGTGCTACTGCAAATGACATAAAGGAAAATACTACAGCTCATCACCACAAACTGAGATTTTTCATATCCCACATTTAGAACATTTAGCTGCTATTTAACAAGAGAAAAATAATTTAATTGTTAACACTTAAAACACAATAATGACTTCACTAAAAAAATAAATTCAGCTATTTATCAAATGCAGCAGTCAAGTCAGAATTTGTGCTTTCAGAGCAGCAAAATTACTCAATTCTGCAATTAAATAGCAATATAATTTTTTACTTTGTTTCATTACCCACTGGCTATAATAACATAGCAACAGTGCTCCAACTCCCCTTCTGCCAGAAACAGAGGTCTGCATAATATACTGAAACCACATTCAGGAAATAAGCAACACTGCAGGAAAAACTTAAGAAACATAGTCTTCCATTAAAGAATAAGCCTCATAAATAAGAATTAAAATAAGATGGCAGAATGTTTCTTTTCATAATAAAAAGTGTCCTAAAATTAAAGGACAAGTAATGAGCTGAATTGCATTCACAGACAAATTTCATTAGGAATATATAAGATCATACAGCTCATGCATAGAGTCAATCCGTCTTCCTTATAATGTAGTATCATCTTAAAGCAACATTCCATAAAATATTTTTTTTAAATTCTAATAACATAATTTTGAATAGATGCCAGCAAATCTCCTTTTTCAGCAATAAAATAAAGTACAAACACACGGCCCATTGATATCACACAGCTGATGAATCATTAACATTTTAGTAATTCCTTTTGACTTCAAAACATATTAGCATTTTCTTAAAAGTACATACTAAAAATTTCCTAACATTACAGACACAATAATACTGTGCTCAATCCACACAGCAAAATCAAATCAGTTTCTTTCAAACACTGATGCTTCTTCACCAACTGAAAGTAATTAGATTTGCTTTTCTAGCCTAAGTGCCATCAGTCTACTAAAATTAGAATGATGACTTCCTAAAATTCTTACCTTCATTCTGAAATAGCTGCTTTATAATACTTATCAGTCATTTATACCTGATTGTTTTTTATCCTTCCTCCTAGAAAATGACACAAATGTGCTGCAATTATTTCCATCCTTATCACATGTGTTGGCATTAAACATTATTTCTATTAGCAATACAAATACATATCCTTTTCCAAAGTGTGGGGGAAAAAAAAAAGTCCATCTTTTTAACACAACTTTTTTGCGCCAATTTGTATATAAATCTTAGTGATAGCTTTAAAGAGTTTAAGATCTCTGACAGATAAGGAGGCATTTACTCTTTTACCTAACTGGTGTTTAGTAAGCTAAACACCACACTGTTACAACCAGCAAAAAGGGTCATCTTTAGCTGGAGAAAACAGACTAGATTGCCATTAATCATTGCTGACAATAACATCAAAACAATCTGGTCCACCATAAAGTTAAGGAAAAAGGAAGCCTAGCCTGCAAGACTGCTGCTGACCTGGTATACAGTGCCAAATCTGCTGAATCAAAGCTGCAATACAAAACCTTGTTGGCTCTGAAGCTAGGTTTCACAGAAGATACTTTGTAATTGTTCTTGATTGACTTGTAAGAGCCAATTTCAGCAGATTCCAAAGTCTAAATAAATCATTAATATAAATATAAATTAAATATATCATTTTAGAAGTCTTAAAAATGCTGAATACAACAAAAGTTCAACTTACTACTACCTGCCTTATTTTGCTATGCTGGAAAAATTATTTTGTTCCAATGAACAAAATTTTTTTAAAATATTATTTTCATTACTTTAAAATGCATAGATATGCAGATACAAAGCTGCTACTTGGAAAACCATTCCATCCTACTATTAAGTGGCTATACTGAAGATAATTTAAAACTGATCAATCCAATGATTCTGAATAAATTATTGGAAATTGATGATGTTGGAACAGAGAGCAACTTAAAGGCTCGCTTAGTAAAAGCATCAGGAGGCAGTCCTTAGGTTCCCTCTAAAAGTACCCCAATTGTACAGACAGTCTGACTACATCAGGCCTGAAAGGGCAACAGGGGGAAGGATACAGAACCTGTAAAGGACATGTTTGGTTCCAAGTATTACCACTGCACCTTTGACCTATTTGGCATTTAAGTCAACCAGCTGCCCCTTTGACTGGAAAATATGCTGAAGAAAATCAAGTAACACTTTGCTTAAAATGTGTGCTGCCTTTCCTTAACATTCACAAAAATTCTGAAGTCTGGGTGTTCAGAACACCCCTAAGAGCTCCTTTTGAACTTAAATTCATTAAATCCTCATGTTTGCATACTCCTAGATTTCCGCATCATAACTCCATTTCTAACACCTATTTGAACACCATTAACACTAAGCAATAAAACCAGTTTAGTATAATACTAACCTATGATTTTAAACACATGAAATTCAACAAGGTAAAATTTCCAGACCACTTACTGTTCCATTAATGCCATCTATATATTACAATTACAGCCAAGTTGTCTGTTGAATGCATGTCATTAGATACAGAAAACAAACTTTTTTACTCCCTGATTTTGATGTCATTTTACTCTGCCAATAGCTTGTATTTTCATGTGATTGTCAATAAAAAGAAATTGTACACACTTTAAAATAATACCATTAAAAAAACTGTTCCGAAATTTACACCAAGAGAAACACAAATAGAGACCTAATTCTTTTCATGGCTGCAGCTGGTTCTCTGTTTCTCTGGGAAGGTAGTAATTTTTTGCCAAACAGGATATCTGCATGCACCAACTTCATCTATATGTACTCTGAAACACAAACTATATGGTAAACCCTATGTTTGTAAAATTAAATGCTGTGAGATCACAGCATTCAAACTATATTTAATTAGATTTTTAATTGGACCAACAGTATAAAATAAATATATTAATAATTTTATGCATCATAAATTCAGAACAATATTTTTATTATGTAAATAGAGAGTACTAAAGTACATTATTTTGAGAAATGGATTTTTATACCAGACAGCAGCAGACCACAGTACGGGGCAAAATTAAAATTCAAAAATATTTTATTATACTGTAGAGTATATGGCATCTATACTATTGCTTTTAGCAAGAGAATTTTTGACATAATCATCATAATCTCTGACACACACATCAAAATACAGTAAGAAACAAAGGTAGGAGATGGAAAATAAACTGCTCAAAAAATGTAGAACTTTTCTCATTTAACTCACAGCAACTAACCCAAGGACAACAACTGGCAAGCAAGCTACCTACACTTGTGGCACATGCTACAATGTGTGCCAGACATCTTTTTCAGACACACTGCAATCAAGATGTCAAAAAATCTGACAACACAGTTGGGGGTGTCCTGTTATTACAAGATCTTAGCACAAATGCACTTATCCAAAATGACAGACTGGTGTCTAAAGACTTTTATAAAAAGAAATGACAATTATCTTCATACAGAAGTAAAAATTCTGAAAAGCAACTGTTCAAATTCAGTAGGAAAGATTTTTTTTCCCTTTTTTGTTGCGGGGGGGAAGGGAGGATGTGACATGGATAGGCTGATATGTGAAATGAGAATACATTTTTAATTGATGGACTTATTAATTAATTACAGGCTTTTCAAACTAACAGATGAATGCATTATGTAAGAATGGGTATGAAATTAGCATTACATGTATGCTACTTATGCAGTTTTAAAGCAGTTACAATTCAAACCAGTTATTTACTCCACTAACCACAGATTTTTGGACATGTGCCTGCAGTGCAAAGACAGCTTTTGGATAAGTGATGGAGGCCATGCAAGAACCTCATACAGTAAACAGTTGTATTTGAAAGTAAACTGAATTTCTCACAATCTCAGAACTCATCAGTAAGCCAAGTAAAGGTATTTATTAAGAGTCCATGACTTTAGGTCTGGATAAAAACTCCACTCCTCTCTAATTCTTGGCCATGTTGTTTCTTCCATGTGAGCTCTGACAGATTTGCTCCCACATGAGTTACCATCCATCTTTTTCCATGGAAGGCCTTATGTAACAGTGCATTAATGCAAGCAAGCAATCCAACAGGAATATAAGTCAGAACTGAACAGGCAGCTGCTACACCAGGTCCTCAAAAGGAAAAGGTGGTAGCAACAAATACCCAGGAGGGAGCCCTGGTGTCCAGAATAAGTTGGTTTGAGTCAGAGGAGTATTTTCTCAGCTAATGAAGAACTTCACATTAAAGCTGAGATAGCTGTCACAGAAAAACCTCTCTCAGTCACCAGAAAGGTTCTGTGGACAGAAATTTTCACTTGAACAGAGCACCAAGGCATAGGTCAAGGGTGTAGGACCCTCTCCCACTGAAGAAAACAGTAGTCAACAAGGAGAAGGAGAAAATAAGGTCTTCAGGGGAAAAACAATCAAATAGTCAATATCATCATTATGTGGGACCCTAGGTGGGACACCAGTAGGGTGTGAAATGAGTGCACTCCTTCCACATAATTGTTTACCATGCTACAGAGAAGAGAAGAAAACAGGCTCATTCATAATACCACTTGACATTGTACATAAAATCTATGAAGAAAACCCCTGTGGTATTCCACCAGCTTGCTTTGGGCATTTTGGAATAAATCAGATTGCAGGAAATAGGCATATTACTCTTCCTAAGTGCAGGTAAACATCATTGCATTGATTTCTATCCAACTCATAAATAGGAGACTCTTCCTTCAATACTGTGGTCTCAAAAACTCAAAAGCTCAAATATTAGAACAAATTTCTGGACACAACATGATATCTGCAGCCATATCAATATACCTACTAAAGGAAACCTGAAAAAATAAAACCAAATTCTTGGATTTCAATGTGTTTACAAAACACACTTGCTCATTACTGAAACTTATTTTTCAAACTACCAAGCAGCTGTGTACGAGAATACAAAGGACTATAAATACAGTCTATGTCTATGATCTGGATATACATTTCCAAAGCATAGATCAAAGCCAATGCTATTAAGAGTAAATCTTGCTTCGATTAACATTAAAAAAATAGTTCTCAAAGTTGCAAGCCATGTTTATTGTATGATTATAGAGAAATTACCTTTTCAACTACTTTTCAATTTATTTTGGAAATCAGCAGAATTGAATGATTAGGCAAACAGGACCAAAAAGTAACTGTTGCATTGCATTTTGGTTTTGACTGCAACTTCTTAACAATAGGTTGTCTTCATGTATTACTTGTGCATTCAGAAATAAATAGTCAGTGACCACTGGGCAGGAGTGCAGAAATCTCCAAGTCATTGAACATATGTGTATATATAAGACCACCAGATCAAACTAAAGCTTCAAAGGTTCCAATTTTTTTATAACTGTGCTGCTTTTGCCTGGGGTGGAATTAATTTTCCTCACAGCAATGAACATGTGGCTATGTCCTGGATTTGTGCTGAATATAGTGATGATAATGCAAAGATGTTTTTGTTACTGCTGAGCAGGATGTGTGCACAGCCAAAGCCTCTTCTACTTTCCCTACTGCCACACCTGCAAAGAAGCTGGGGGCACGTGGCAGGCTGGGAGGAGACACAGCCAGGACAGATGGCCCCAGCTGACCAAAGGGCTATTCCAGACCATGTGACATTATGCTCAGTATACAAAGTGAGGGAAGCAAGATGTTTAGGGTGATGGTGCTCATCTTCCCAAGTAATCATCACATGTGATGGAGCCCTGCTCCCCTGGAGATGGCTGAACACCTGCCTGCCCAAGGGATGCAGGAAATTAATTGCTTTGCTTGTGTGCATGATTTTTGCTTTCCCTATCAAACTGTCCTTAATTCAACTGACAAGTTTTCCAGCTTTTACCCTTCACATTTTCTCTTGATCCTTCTGGTGGTGGAGTGAGCAAATGGCTGCATTTGGCTTGGTGGTTGACATGGATTTAAACACAACAGTAATATTTTTATTTGCTGCAAGCAATTATTTTTAAAAATTACTGAAAAAAGCTCAGATTTAAAACAGCACTTGCCCTTACTTATCATTATAAAATATCCAAGTACACTAAAACACAGCAAAGTAACTGTCCATTTCTGTTGAAATTCTATTCATACATATTTAGCAATGAAACATACACATAAAATGTCAAGTAAAAGTCCAAATTGTTCAGCTTCAAATTGTTGCTGCGGAAATTTACATTTATATCACAGTCATCAATTACTTTCACATACACAGCTTGCTTATTTTTCTCTAAGACTTCATCTATTCAAACAGAGCTTCACAATTGCTTCCTATACACTTTCAAGTATTTATTATTAAAAGGAATTGCAAAGAGCTAACTAAACATTCAACCACAAATGTGAAAAATTACCCAAAATCTATAGTCGATTACCTGGTACATGCTGTAGAACTTATCAGAACAAACCAACAAATTAAATATTTTTAATTAATCTATTTTACTTTGTTGCAATGACAACAAAAGAAACACACACATTGCACTCTTTGTATCAGTGGAACTACAGGGAATCTTTGCCTGGAACGTGTAAAAAGAATAGCAGCAATTACTTTTAAACAGATTTTGAGCTACTAAAATTCAGGTAACTTCTGAACTATGGAAATCCTCTCCTTTAGGGAAAAACCAACTATAATCTTACTTTTATAGGGACAGAAGTTTAGTCAAGTAAAATGAGGATGTGATCTTTTGAGGATTTTTAAAGTACTCCTCTTGAATAAAAAATAATTTGTCATGATTTCATTCTAAAGTGGCAGAGGATCATTTTTCTATCACATTCTTCACTTTAGCAATCATTAAATAAATCTTATGGAAAAAAATTCTACGGAGCTCCACAGCTTTAGAGTTTGGATGCATTGACTGAATGTAATGTTTGGGGAATTCTCAAGCATGCATTTATAATTATCAGCAAAACATGTGTTCCTTGTGAGTAAATATTAGACTGTACAAGGGGAAAAAATAAGAGCTATCATGACTCTATAAAACTAACTTTTTGATAGTTACTGCATTTTAAATCAAATATATTCTACACATTACTTTCAAAAAACTTCATGGATACAGAAGGAATTCTGCAAGACACATAAATCCTAACACTTCTAGAAGGCAACAAGATCTGACAAATGACCTCAAAGGCACTTTGAGTGTGATCCAGCTCATCATAAATTAGGTCAACTAATCTGCTCTCTTAGTAACATTGACAGTATGGATTAGCTCTTCAAAAGACCACAACAGGCTCAAGAGCTGAAAGTACACACAGACACACAGCGTAAGGCATGTGAACAACAGGACAGTTTCCTAAGTGATGTCAAACAAAAAACTGAACTACATCCCAATGCAGGAAAAATACTACTTTGAAACAGTTTTCTACCTTGCATGAGAAAACTAAAGTGTGAGTATGGCATTTATACAACCACTTCCTACCTAGAAAGACATTCCAAACAGATAAAAAAAATTAAATAAAGGGAATCATATTAAATAAATGCTTCATATGCTTCTGAAAATGAAAGCCTATTTTCTTTTTATTGTAAGAACTGAAGTAGTTTAATATCATTTTCCCAGGAAAACCTAAAAATAGGTGTGAAGTCCTAAAATAGTACAGGATATGAGGAAAAAAGCCCCAACCTGGTTAATGAAGAAAAAAAGGTTTTGTTTTTTTCTGGTGTGCCTTTCTGTGTTAGTATCTCCCCTACATTCCAAACTCAAGAGAAAGAGCAAAAACACACAATATAGTCTCATCTTCCATATAAAGCTATTAAAATTCCATACATTCACCTAAATTATTATTCTAGAGTGTTTCTATAAAACCAGATCACCTACATTTATTACGCTCACATAGTTCTGATTTTGAAGGAATTAGCAAAACAACAACTTGATAATGTCCAAACTTCAAAATTCTCCTGTTTTAAAATGTCAGTGAAAATTATGAGGAAGTTCAAGACTAGCTATTTTCACATATAAATGCATGCCATGAAGAATAACTTTCTTCTTCCCCTTCTCTCTGCTCTTTCGGTACAGCAAAAATATAGGTGAAATAACCTAATAACCTGAAATACGTAAGACAAAACCATTAATAGAATATCCTAAAGTGAAAATACAGTGTATAGCTAATATTTGCAGACTGTCATTCATTGTATCATTATCTGTAGACTATGTCCCATCCTACAGGTTCTTATATTGGCTTTACTGCAGTAGAAGATGGTTGTTACACCACTAAAAAAATCAATGCAGTATTTAAAAAAAATACCCTCCAGCATTTAAAGGTGTTGTCTGAATAAAGTAAGTCAAAATTTTATTAAAAGCAAAGCATATGTTTTCCTCCTGCAATAAAGAATGAAGGGTTGTATTACCTTCATGCACTGTTATTCCACAGTTGTCACACTGGATTATTTCATCAGCATCTTCACTGTTATCTCCAAGACAAACGCAACAAATCAAAATATGGTCCATTTTCTGGGAACTCCAATTTTGAGACTTCTCAAGGATCAATGAGTCCTAATATTGAAAAACAGACACATGGATTATGCCAGGAACTTCAATTTTATTTAAAGCGAGACCTGTTATTTGCTCAATTTTTGAACAACTATCAAAATACCATGGAACATTATTTTCATAAGGCTAGAAGCTTCTTTGTTGTCAAAATGCTCAAACACTTCCTCCATGAATACAAGAGCTGGGATGCATGGATGTCAATGCAACCTATACACCTGTTAAGATCCAGAGGTCAGAGGAGAGTCAAGAAAGGAATCTCAATACAGAATCCTCAAGACAGAACCATGTCTTTGAACCATTTATGTTCTACAAAACAGGATACCTAAGAAGCCATTTCAAAAAAGACCAAAGGTGATCTTCAAATGTTCCAACATTCAGAAAAGTTGCTTCTTTTTCTTAAAATTTAAAAAATCACATGGCTCTGAAAAATCCAAGAATACACAGCTAATACAAGACTCCCAAGTTTTCACTTACATAAAATATAACAAATTATCAACTCTGTATGATTTTGTTCTAATGCAAATTTATGTGTATCTGTGTAAAACAATATGATTTATTAAAACTGTAAGTTCTTCTGATTATATAGAGGAGTAAGGATTTGCCCTGTTCTGGTAACCTACAATAGGAACCACAGCTCTTAAACAGATAATGGGTTTTCATGGGGAATTTTTCTAAGAAAACACAGAGAAGTGCTTCATAAACCAAAGTTATATGTAAAATTAGTTTTCTTAACAAACATTGTCTTCTTATTATTACCATTGTGAGATAGGCCCACTCTCTGTTCTGCAGTTTCATGACCTCCATACATATTCATTTATTTTTATACTAGAGCTTGAACCACCTTTATTGGTAATATGAAGGCATATAAGGAAGTATGTAAATAAGCACAGTAGTGAAAAATAACCATTGTGGTATAAAGAAACAGTAGTAGTTTCAAATCTGAGGGGCTGAGAGTTCAATGGTACCATTCAAAATGTGCAAAAATATTCCAAAACTGCTGTGGCATCAAAAAAAAAAAAAAAAAAAATAGGGTGAAAGATGCCATCTCAAACATTTTTTTTGTAATTCCAACTCACCATTTACAAAATATAGCACCAATACTATGCCTAAGGGAACACTTCCTTGTAGAAGTGGAAAAGAACATTCACAGAGTTGCATTGCTTACAGGAAGGCAACTAATTGTGAAAAATAGAAGAGTCTCTGCTACGGAGTTGAGACTTACAAAGCATCTCTTCCAACATCCTCCTTTTTGGACATAGCATTTTGAGGAAAGCAATAAACTCGGACATTACTGCAGCCCATCATTACTCAAAATACCCATGTTTGGCTTATCATTCACACTGCAGATAGGAAAATGGCAGTGGATGCTCCCTAACTTTGGCAGATTTATTTGACTTCACTGAGAGAAGTTTAAAAGACACTGCTAATCTCTACTGTTATAGAAATAGAAGCCCAAGGTCTCATAATTAAAAAACAAAACAAAACAAAAAAACCCCAAAGTATTACTTTAAATTAAGAAACAGTAATGCATTATAAAAACACTGAAATAACACTAGCTGTCCAGGCAGTGAGAACATATGCAAACATGGACCAAAAAACCCAAACAAACAAACAATGATGAAAGAGTATAAAATTTTTGTTCTAATGTTAGGATCCCAAGCCATTAAGGCTCACCTCATGTGAAGACAGCTACCAGGTGAAACAAAGCAGCTGAGCAACTTATTTTTTTATGCAGGCACGGAGAGGGAGTGATCTGGAAAGTGTGCTGCTCTCCTCTGCTTTTAGTCTATGTAAGCACCTGACAGACTCATCCAAAACATGGAAACTTTTACATGTAACAGTAACTGCTGCAACTGCTGAACAAGTCCTGCTCCCTACTGAAGTGGGAGAAACTATTTCAGCTGGATCACTGTGTAACTCCCATTTCTGTGGCGTTAATGAAGAAAGTGACCATTTCAAGCTATATGCCCATAGACTTTTAGCTTTAAAGGGGAAAAAAATTAAAAATACAATAACCACCTCACTGAGAATAGAGAGTCCTATAAAGTGGTAATAATTATAAAAACAGAAAAGCACCATTTGCCTACTAATGATGCTTGACCACAGGAAAGAAAGCTAAGTTTGTATTCTGTGCATAATGCAATAGAAATGCATGTAGTATTTCATTACAGCACATGTTAAAATAATGTATATGCAGACCTCAATACTTTTGTAAAATGTAAATAAATAAAAACCACAGGGAAACAAGAACCAAACAACCCCTCCCCAACACCCTCCACAGTTTCCATCCTCCAAAAATAAGCGAAGGAAAGAAAGAAAGAAAGAATGCACATAAAGGACACTACAGTATGTTCAGAACTAATTATCTGGATATTATTTCTTAAATTTATTATGGATTTAAATATCTAGGAACTCAGTTTTGTAAGAACTCTGTTTCTGCAGTGTGATGAGATTTTGCTAGATGTATCTGCTAGACTAGATTTTTTTTTACTCTTTTTCTGGTTTTACTAATTCAAAATACGGTAGCAGTGGAGAGAATACTATTAAAATACAGTATATTGAGTATCAGAAATCTGAAAATTACAGTCGATAATTCAGTCTCCAGACACATTTGCAAAACTTCTTGACATAGTCATAAACAGTACAGCACTTTACATGCTTATCAGTTACAAAATCATAATCTGAAATTCAAATTTTCAATTTCAATTTTATGTTCTGATAACTGTTCTAAATCTAAGGCAAGAATAGAATATGATATCCATGCATACTAAGAAGCTTCAAAGAAGATACAGCAGAGACAGCTCTCAGTTTCTGAAACAGGTCAGTTTTTCCAAGTCAGTGGAAATTAGACTGAAGAATATATCACTAAGAATGTAGCTGCACATCTCATTCTGATATGAGAAGCAACTCTTAAAGAAAACTGCCTCTCTCTGTTACAAGTTCTGATCATTAGTATTGGTAGAGTACTTTCAGCTCCTGAGCCAAGAAAAGGCAGGTAATAATAGAATAATAGAATCACAGAGCCTGACAAGGAAAGAAGATGCCTATACAAAAAGTTAAAAGAAAAAAACCCAAACAAATCATGCTTTCTTTTCAATCCCAATTATTACTAAAACTGCACAGCTCACTTGCAATAATATATAAATATAAATATCTATATTTATAATACCTATTAAATTATCTAAAATGGACCAAATCAAAATATTGTTTAGTTCCCTGTTATTTCACACATTTAAACGAAGTTTAAAGGGAACAGTAGAAGTTTTAGTAATGTCATATCACTATCACTTCTCAAGTGTTATGTTGACATTGTGATTATATCCCGAAAACTAATTATAGACTTTATAGCAATACTTTTTTTTTTTTCAGAATTTTGCTATTGCAGAACATGTAGTCAGCCACAGTGACAACCTGGTATCTTAATTTTTCCACAGGCACAATCTTCAGGGCAACTGTAATTGTGCATAGGGAAAAAAAGGTTACTTTATTGAACATTTATATATATAATATTCACATTCTGCAATCAGAAGATATTAAATATAACAATCATAGTATCCACATGCTTTTAGTATGGCAAGAAATTAGTTCATTTGTGACTACTATAAGCAAATCCAACATAAATTATCAGAATTATTCTATTTGATTTCAAACTAGTGTCCATGGTTTTTTACATAAAATTCTTCTGTAAGTGAACTCTGTTCAGACTTTGATGTTTGTTGCAAAGAATAATGCCTCATTCATCTATTTTATTATTATGTCACAGATGCTTTTAACTTTCATAACATTACAGATAGAGAACATTTACACTAAAACAGAACTAGAAGTCTCACTAACATATGTTGGTTTGCATACTGGACCTCCTGTTTTAGTACTAATCCAATCTCTGTAAAGCCAAGAGAAGCTGCACTATTGACTTTAGTGGCATTAGATTGGTCAAATGGTCCAAGTAAGGTTATTTAATATGTAGTGCCTATTTATCATAATTTTTCCTGCTTCACTTATTATTATGTGAACACAAGACCAGCCAATCAGTTTAACGTTTAATATTAACAAAATAGCTATTGGGGACTAGTTTCCATTTGTCAAGAGATATATTATAGAAAGTTGGTTGCACTACCTCATTACTCTTGCTTTGTGAAAGAGCCAGGCTATCATTTGTCAATTCCTCATCATCTGCATTATTCCTGTTAAGAACTTTACTCTTCTTCTTCTTGGATCCTCCGTCACTAGCCGTGCTGCTATTATCTTCTTCATTAGCTTCCTCATCATTGTCATCCTCATCACTTCCACTCCCGTCATCTTCATCATCTTCATTATCTCCATCACTCCCCTCTTTTTTCAGTGCATTCTTTCCTTTTCTTTTCTCAGCAGTAGGCCTCCAGTCATTGTCATCTTCACTGTCGTAGTCATCCATATCATTTAGTTCTTCCATTGATACAAAATCCAGCAGAGGTCGGTTCCTGCGCAAATTCCATTTTTTTGGTTCATTTGTTTGCTCATCAGCCACAGCCTCAGGTTCAGCTGCTTTCTCCTTCTCTTTCTTCTTTTTTGGCTTTTCTTCTTCATCTTCTTGCTCTTTCTTTTCAGTTTTAATTACCTCTTTGTCTGTTGTTGGCACTTCTTCAGTGGAGGCTTTCAGCTGCTGCTCTTCTACTTTCTCTTCTGCCGGTTCCTCCTCCAAGATATTTTCTTCTGATTCAGTACAGGAACCTTCACCACTGTCCTTAGATGCATCTTCACTCCCATGACCACTTCCTTCAGAATCTGTTGAGCATATGAAAATTTAAAAAATGTTCCGACACAAAAGTACCCCCAAAAATAAAATCTCTTGCAGCAAGTTGTTAAACAAAAGAATGATGCATGTTCCTCCCTCATAAGGTATTCCACCTATTTTTTCAGCTGGCGTTCAAATATTGCTATTTCAAGTGCTATGTTGAGAATCTGTTAAACATGAGTGCATTTTAAGATGCCAAAAAAAAAAAAAATATGGCAGAACTTATTAAATGAGCATTGTAAGTTCCTTTGAACTGCAGCTCGTATTAACAAAAAGCAGTAGCACAGAGTAATTTCCATGTGAAGTCACATATTAAAGAAAGAGTATTCCAGTTTTTAATTTCTGAAGGTGTTTTCTACACCTTCAAAATAAAATAGCTATCCAATAGAAGAGGTTTGAAATTACAAAATGAAGAGTTTACATAGCTACTACTAATAATAATATGGCTAATCCCACACCTTCATTTTTAATACATCTTTGTTTTTCTGGGTTTGAGGGCTCCTTTAATTTCCAAGGTTAGTTCACTTATTAATCCAACATAAACTATGCCTCACTCAGAATTGCAGCTGCACTACACTGCATTAACTTTACACTACTCATACCTTGCATACTACTGTTGTGTGCACTCACAATTTCATTAACACATGCCAACATGAGCAACAGAAAAGAATAGAGAAAGATTTTTATACAAAAGAGAGATTTTTACTATAAAGCACATGTAAAAAAATATTGCAAAATGACATGTGAACTTGTTAAACTTTATAAACAGCATCTACCTTGTTATCTCATCTTATATGAACCTACTGCTTTTCATTCATAGTATTGTTTTAATGACAGAAAACTCAGAAAATATTTTTTTTTAATTTTTGAAAAGAAAATATAGTTTCTTGATCCAATGCAGAGATCAATTAGGCAGTGGCTAGAGTTTTCAGTTTGCTCAAAGCCATCACCAAGTTCCTGATCCACTGTCATACAGATGCAAAGATGAAACACATCAATGCTCACAAATTTAAAAAAAAAAAAACCTTAACTGCTTTAGTTACAACACAAAAATCTCCACCACTCAATATCACCTTACACAGAGAATTTATCTGCACACCCAGCTCTGTATAAATCCAAATAAACAGACACTGAGGTAGGTGTGCACAGTGTGTCATTTCATACGGCATTTTTTACCACCCCAAAGAACATTACAAATGACTGCCAGTTGTTACTTTAATATAGTGGTGAGTTTTACTGTGTACACCTGCATGTAGAAGCATTCAGTGAGATTATATAACTAATGACATAGAAGGTCCATAAGTGCTATTATTACTGATTAGGACATCAAAGTTACTCATCCTCTTACAAGCTACTAAAAACTAAAAGTTTCCAACATACATTCTAACATTCAGAGATCCAGAAAACACACAAGTTTTTTTTATGGTCTTTGAGAAAAACATAATTCAGTCATTTTTCCACACCTATTAGCCTTTAATTATAGTAATCAAAGTACAAGATAATTAACTGAAGTTTTGAAAGAGTAGAAAATGAGTCAGGTGTACACAAGAAATAAAACCAGTATTAACTAACATGCAATCCAAAAGAATTGTTTTCAAGTTACAATAATTTCTTTGGCTAAAGAATCACAGGATAGGTAAGGACCACAGTGAGTCATCCCAGAGCACACTGCCCAGGATTGTATGCAGACAGTTCTTGAATATCTCCAGTGAGGAAGACTGCACAAAATCTCTGGACAATCTGTCCCAGTGCTTGGTCACCTGCACACTAAAGAAATGTTTCCTTAGATTCAAGTGGAACTTCCTGTGCATCACTTTCTGCCTGCTGCCTCTTGTCCTATTGCTTGGCACTGAAAAGAGACTGGTCCATCCTCAACAACCTCCTTTCAGATACTGATAGAAGGGATGAGGTCCCCACTCAGTTGTTTCTTATTAAGGATGAACAGGCCTAGTTCTCTCAGCCTTTCCTCAGTAAGAGAGAGTACCTCCATGGAAAGAACACAAACATGGTGAGAATGCTACAATGCTCCATGAAGACAGCCTCAAAGAGTTGGGGTGGATCAGCAAGGAAAAGAGAAGGCTCCAGGGAGAACAGAGCTTATGAGAAAGATTTTTTTACTAAGCCCTGTGGTGACAGAAAAAGTCACCTGAAAGAGGGTAGGGTTTAGACTGGACACAAGAAAACTTTTCAATGAGCATGATGAGACACTGGAACAGGTTGTCCAGGGAAGCTGTAGGTGCCACAACAATGAAGATATTCAAGGCTAGGTGGAATGGGGCTTTAGACAATCTGGTCTAGTGAAAGAAGTTTCTGACCAAGGCAGGGGGTTGACTCAGATTATCTCAAACAGTTTTTTGATCATGGGTTAGTTTATAGGATACCAGGCCTGGCAACATACAGGGTACACCAGATACAAAGAGGAGGGAAAAGGATCTTCGCATAGGACTTAGCAGGGCTCACTGAAAGAGTAAATTAGATTTGAAGGGGGAAAGGAATAAACCTGAGTTCCCTAGAGATATGCCTGGGGGCAGCACACCACTGTTTGGGGGACAACATGCTAGAAAGTTTCTTTGATCTGTCACTTTAGTGGAGGTAGGGAATGGAGATCTGTGCAGTTGTAAAGACACAAGGGTTATAACATGCTAGAAAACACAAATGTGACTGAAAATGATCATGGTAAGACTTAGAGCTTGTTTCCCCGAAAAAGCTGGAGAGATCAATAGCCCAGCTGAAGTGTCTCTACCAATGTACACAGCACAGGCAACAGGAGGAGCAGAAAGCCAGTGAGCAGCAGTAAAACTATGACATAGTTGCACACATGGAGACATGAGAAAACATGGACAGCCAGAGTGCTGCACTGGATGGCTATAAACCCTTTAGCAGGAACAGGTAAGGAAGGAGAGGTGGTGGGGTAGCCCCTACCTTAGGAGTGTTTTGTCTAGGGTATAATGACGATATGACTGTTTAAGGATAAGATTGAGGGGAAAGTCCAACAAGGCAATACTGATGCGAGTCTGTTAAAGACCACCCAACCAGGATGAAAAGGAAAGTGAAATAGTCTATAAGCAGTCTATAGTCTCTCAACCACTAGCCCTTATTTTCACAGTGGACTTCAAGTTACCAGATAGATACCTGCTGAAAACACAATACAGCAGAGAGGAACTGGTCCAGAATGTTCTTGGAGCATGTGGAAGATAACTGTCTAACACAGACAATGAGGGAGGCTACTGGCAAAGATTCCCCACAGGACCTATTATTTGTGATCAGAGAAGGCCTTGTGGGTGATGTGATGACTGGAGGGTGTTCTGGGCAGAGCAAACTTGAAACAGTAACTTTCAGACAAGCAATTCTCAGACAAGCAAGCAAGGGAGTCAGCAGAACTTCGATCCTGGACTTTCAGAGATGATGCCCTGTCAAAAGGCTTGGTCGGCAGAGTCTCTTGGGAGACAGTCCAGGAAGGCTGGACATTCTTCAAGGAAATCTTAAAAGCACAGGAGCAGGCCATCCCTATGTGCTGAAAGACAAGCCAGCAGTAAAAAAGACTGATGTGCCTGAACAGAGAGCTGAGAGATTTGACTGGAACTCAGAAAAACAAGGAAAATTTACGGCTTTTGGAAGAAGGGGCAGGCAACTCAAAAGGACTTCAGGAATGATGTGAGGGAGAATATTTTTTGCAGGGAGAAAATCAGAAGGGCCGAAGACCAACTAGAACTTAATCTGGGTACTGCCATAAAAGATAAAAAATACATAATCAATATAACAAAGGCTAAAGACAATCTCCACAAATTACTGAATGAGGAAGGAAAGAGTGCCAAAGGATGAGGAAAAGGCTGAGGTACTCAATGCCTTCTTTGCCTCAGTCTTTAACAGCAAGACCCACTGTTCTCTGGGCAGCCATCCCCTTAAACTAGAAGACAGACACAGGGAGCACAATGAAGCACATAATCCAAGGGGAAATGGTCAGTGATCTGCTGCATCTCTCAGACCCACACAGGTCTGTGGGCCCAAATGAGCCACATTCAATCATTTACCAGCAATCCTGGCTAACCAGGGCCACATGATTAAAAGTTAAAAAAATGTGGTACCTATCTGCAAGAAGGTCAGGAGTTATCCAGGGAACTCCAGGCAGTCCTGCCAGCCTGACCCTGGAAGGTCATGCAACAGATCATCTTGAATGCCATCAAGATGATGGAGCACAACAGACTGGGGCAGAAGGGCTGGAAAGCTGCTCAGTGGAAAAGAGTGCGGGGTGCTGGCTGACATTTGGCTGAACAAGACCAAGCATGTGCCCAAGTGGCCAAGAAAGCCAATGGCATCCTAGTCTGTACCAGCAATAGTGAAGCCAGTAGGACCAGGGCAGCTGCTGTCCCCCTGTACTTGGCAGGCACTGGTGAAGCCAGACCTCAAATACTGTGGCCAGTTCTGAGCTCCTCACTTCAAGAAAGACACTGACATGCTGGAGTGTGTCCAGAGCAGGACAGTGGAGCTGTGAGAGGTCTGGAGCAGAAGTCTGGTGAAAAGGAGGCTCAAGAAACACCTTATCACTCTCCACAACCACGTGAAAGGAGGGCATAGCAGGGGGTGGGTCAGTCTCTCCTCCCATGTAACAAGTGATGGAACAAGATGAAATAGTTTCAAATTCCAACAAGGGGGGATTAGCTTGGCTATTAGGAAAAACTTCACAGAAAAGGTTGCTCCTCAGGAGTAGTTAAGTCACCACCCCTGGAGATACTTAAAAGATGTGTAGTCCGGCCCTTAAGGACATGATTTACTGGAGGGCTTGGCAGTGCTAGGAAAACAGTTGGACTCTACCTTTAAAAGTCTTTTCCAGAGTACACAATGCTAAAATTCTGTGATACTTGCCAGTTCCCATAAACATTTTACAAGTAATTCCTAAAGCTATACTCTCATACTAGACATATCACAGATTACATGCCGTATGTATACTCAAAGCAAAAGGTATTTTGTATCTCATTTCACAGTTGCCAAG